TATTTTGGCAAACGTCTAATATGAATTGAGAAAATATCATCAAATGTTGGTGTCTCCAATCACACAATATCTCCTATTCTCTGAATTTTCCTGACAGTGATTACTCTGAATGAGTATTCTGAATCTTCCCCATCCAATGTCCTAAAAGATTTCCCCGATCCATATATCTCATCATCTAATAAATCCAAATGCTAGATGCTGAACAGAAGCAATGTGTGAAAATCAAAGAGCATGTCCAAATCTAGTGAATAGCCTCAGCATTATGGCAGATCTATCAGATCAAATTTCAAATTTCCATTTGCCCACATTTTCTCCATATTCCATGATACACTCCAAGTATCTCTCTATCTCCCTTTTAAACAAACCAATTAATTTGGTATCTATGACTCTGTGGCATTGCATTTCACATTCTGAACCCTCTGTGTGGCTAAATGTTTTTTTCCTCATAGCTTCAATATTGATATTTTATATATAATCTGGAGTAATAGGGCCATCGTTCAGTATTTTCTCTGAGCTGCTACACCTCGTGAAGGTTGTAATATAAATGCAGGTTGTTGTTTCCTCTGTTTTATTACTAGTAGCAAATGTCTTGGTGGAGACATGAGTATCCAGAAAGCTTAGATAACTAAAAAGTATATATGGTTGGGATATAATCATTGCAATACATTGAGTCTATTAACCAGAAATCAACAGTCACTATATATTGTAACATTTTAATGTATGTAACAAATAATTTTTTTTCAAGAATGCAGTATATTATTTGTTCTATTTTTAATGTCTCTGCTAAGTATTGGAAACTGAAAAGGAGGAAAACCAATTGCAAGTTGTAAAAAAGACCTTCACTCAAAGGCTTATTAAACTTGTTTGTTTCTTTTAAATATTGTATATATTTTTAAAATGTGTGTGTGTAACAAAAATATATGCTGTTCAGTACAATGTTAGCTTAAGATACAAATGTGAAATTAAAATAGCTAAAATGCATCATCTTCTTAATTGTGCTATGTTTGCAAATAGACCTGTAAATGGAAGCTCCGTTTCTGCATTGAACACAACAAAATTGAACTTTTTGAGAATAATAGGGTCTAAAATGCTTTGTGGGCTAACCATGTTCAAATGCAAAATGTAATTAAGGAATGAAAAAGATTACACCTGGATTGCCAACCTAAATGAGACCATCAAATACCACAGATCAAACCTGGAACTTTCAGCTCCACACAACACAGGGTTACTCGCTTGCCCATCAAAGAACATTTTCTCTCTCCTGACTCTTAATATATGTTACAGAACAGAATGATAAAAAGGGCAGATCTAAGCAATAAAGGTTTCTTGATTCATACTACTCTTGAAAATTAAATATCTTTTCTTTAATTCTGCTGAGCAGGAACATCGCAGCTGAGCCTCAGATTTAAAGCACAATCTTCTGTGCGGTGATTATATTTAATGCTTTCAGCCTTGCTAATGAATTATTGTTTAAGTTATTGCCTAAGCATACACATTGGTAAAATAAACAGTGAGTGGAAAAACAATTAAACTATCAATTTTTTATGCGAGCATTTCTTTTTTTCTGGGTTGGAGTCAGGCTCCACCACTATTAAGCACTTTGAGACGCTACCCTGCATGGAGGACTTATATAATTGCCAGTTGTTGTTGATTCTGAATTCTCAATGGTTTCAAGCAGATTCTGTACTGCCCCATATACTGACTGCAACCAGCCCAGCTTAACAATGGATATAGTCATTGGCCACCTTACCAATACTGAAGCCAGCAATCTAGCAAGAGAGGCATTTTATTTTTAGAAATCACACAGCATGTAACAGGCCCAAAATGGACTTATTTTCCTTGTGCAGTTTACCTGTCCTCCCTCCCATATAAAAGGAAATTGATAAAACTTCTGTATCCTATGCACAAATTGTTATGGAAAAGGGACGAATGTTTCAATCAGCTACATTCAGAGACAAAGAACATATACCTTCTTCAATGGCCTTCATTGACTGGGAGGAGTCTGCAATGTCTTTTAGATCATATTGTATTCTGATGGAAGTTACTGCACATTCCACGCGGTACATGGCCAATAGATAAATGGCATACAGTGTTTGGAACGCATGTGATATTCGAGTAAGATACAAGTACTCTTAACTTTGTCATAATCTGTAGCAGGATCTAAATGTTCAATTGGTAAAAGTACAACATACAAGGAGAGTATTCAGGCATATTCTGTAAAGGTTATTTTGTGCGTAGCTCCTGCCACTGTGGCACTGAGTGCTATCACATGGATTTGTGTCCCTTCTGATTTCTCACATACTAAATTTATAATTGTCCCCCACTCTATAAAAATCAATTTGGCCCTCTGCCTCCTTCCATTCTCACTTTTTAAGCCCATGTTAATACCTATCATTTCAACCACACTTTCACTCCCACTTTTCAAAGCCCTAATGCGCAGGTCCTAGCTGGACAAGCAGCAGGAAAGCTTGCCAGACTGTGATATCAATGGCAAGCTATGCAGTTTTAGCTGGTTAGACTCCAGTAATACCCCAACATATACTCTAGATTCCCCAAGCCTTGGCTCTTGACAACATGTGCCTAATACTTTACAGAATTGGGTAAGCAGGATGCGTTCCTCCAGGGGGAGAATACGCATTCCTTTCCAACAATTTATCTCTGGGATTTCCATGTGTAGGTGGGATGCATGGAAATCTCAATTTGGTTGATGTTTGATGTTGATAACATCAGGTATCGCTTAGGATCATTAACTTTCTCAATCTCAATTTTACAGCATTTTCTTGGAACCACAACACTTTTTCATGGAATAAATTCCAAAATTGTGTCTGAATATACCAGCATACAGAAATATGAGCAGACACAGGTTTCAGAGCACAGCACAGCTACCATCAGGATGAAAACACATAACGATGTATTTTCTTGACTTTTGCAACAAAGCAGAGTAAGCCCCAATAGTTGTGTGTGTGCAGTCTAGTGCGTCAATTATTTGTTTTGGCATGCTCAGTGATTTCACAATGTATACTTTGTTTAACATCTACTAGCCAAGCAAGGGGGATGAAACGAAGCTAACATGCCATATCTTGGCTAGAAAGTTTACAATAATTGCACCTGGGAATATTTCTCAACAAATCAATATATCCCAGTTCTTTGGTCTATTTCAGTGTTATATTCATAATCATAACTGAAATAATACAATAAAAATGAAATTACATCATTACATGAAATAATACATTATTTCAAAATAAGAGATACCCTGGACTCATTTCACTGTTATTTAAGCATGAAGGCAGGGATAAGTGCTCCACGTGTCTTACTCTGATGCAATGATCTAATGGAGAGTTTATCTTGAACTGCCTCACATAAGAGGGTGGTGAGAATGTGGATTCACTCCCAGAAGCCATGGATGAAGCAGAAAGCATCAGAGCATTGGGCAATGACTTTTCTACCTGTTTTTCTTTAAAGAACAAAATAGATCATATCACAAATGTTGAGGTCTGGCCAGACCTAGAGTCCACCAAATACTCTTAGGAGACATGGATTTCTTGAGTTTCGACTGATGGCTACTTTATGGAACATGCCAAATACACTGGCATCATGCCAGTGCCAGCTGTCATATCTGTTGCTTGAGGTGCCATATTGTGCTAATTCTGAATGCAATGGCAGCTCTCTGGCATTGCCTTTAGACTCCAGCAGCTGTGGCACAGGAGCACGTGGCAACCTGGCCTGTGAGTCACCTAGAAATTCTGAATCTGGATCCAAGGAAGGATCTCAAATGCACCTCAGCCCATGATATGAGAGCAGGCCTGACAGTCACACCACTTCTCCCTGGTGCTTAGTCTCGAGAGGTAATTGAGCAATTTAAATTCTATGCTTAGCATGCTCTCTGATCTCACACACTGATTAGTTCTCAAAGCTACCGCTTTCTGTGTGCTCTGTGACATAAAATGGTCCACACGGCCCACATGGAATTTGGCACCACAAAACACCAACATTGTCTATCCCCCACTCTTGCTACTCCTGTAACCATACTGCAATTTGACCCTCGTGTGACTTAACGTTTTCAACCAATCTCTTCCATGCACAAGTCTCTACATAGGGATATATACATCAACTGGATTATCGATATATATATTTCCACAATACATTCTGTGATCCCGTCAAAAGCTATAAATAAATTAGTTAATCGTGGCCTGCCTTCTACATTCATCCTGACACTCTCGGATCAATCCCCATCTTAAAAATTCTATCACAAAACATGGTCTCATCCTCCTTTTCCTTCACTGTGATCATTCCACCAATGTTTGCTTCACCGATGCATTTGGACTCCTCTGCTCTATTCACTTCTCCTGACCCTGTGATGATATTTTGATACCTTTCAACCTGTTAAATTCACTAATCTCACCTCAAAACAGGAGCTAAATTCTCACTTTGCAATATGGTTTCTCACTTTCACAAAGCTTCGAGATCTTCGAAAAGGTCTGAAGAAGTTAAATTAGATCTTTGCCCTCCCTTTCACTAAGCATTTTCAATCCAGTGTCTGAGAAGGAAAGAATCATCATAGCACCGCTAAACACAGGTGTTTTATCCATTCACAATTTCTCCCGAGATTCTAGCCCTGAATATTTCAGGCTACATTATATCTAAACGTAGCGAACATAAGAATGTTCTGGCCCAACAAGACTTATGAAGGAAGGGAACGTTTCTCCCAGTCTTTGTTAGTAACAGCTTTAATATCCTAAAACAGACATAGTTCTTCCTCAGCCAAAAGGGCATTTCATGCTTAGTTTATTGTGCACAATATACCTATTTTTTATTTGATTAAATAAAGTCTATCTCGGTACTGAACATCAATATTGTGACAACATCCTGCAATATAACTCAAATATAGCTCCTTTTTAAAAGTACATTTTGTTCTGGTGAAGCAATTTGTCTTGGCAGGCAGCGCAGTGTGCCAGGATGCCTTGTTTCAAAAACAATGAGACAGTGGATGGTGTACTCACGTGAGAACATAGTTGACGCTGACGATGCAGTGAGGTCTAGAGGACCTGCTGTTGTGAACTATCGTTGCGTAGCTCTGAACCCATACCCAGCCTCCGTGCTTTGCAAGGAAACGGTAATATTTTGTTGTGACCTGCCCTTTGACAAGCACTGTGTACAGAAAGAAAACTGATTAATATTTAATTCTAAGAATGTAATTATCCATATCCTACACTCGCTGTTTACAAACAGGAGGTTTACAATACTCTGGAAGCTGCTTGTCTCATAAATATAGAGATCCTGGTTTGTGCTGTGTTTAGTGATCTCACCTGAGGCTCTAATTGGGACACAAATTGTTTACAAGTGATCTCAAAGCCGTGCATTAGGCAGGGGAGGTTCAGACAAATTTTCGGCTTCTGATCATTATACTGAAGGTGACTATGTGTGGATATTACAGATGAGGACAGGAGTAGACTCGGCTATGACACTCCCTTTCCCCTCCCACCCAAGTTCAATCAAATAACTTGCCAATACTCATTGAAATGACTCCCAAATGAACAGAGGCCATTTTTGACAAACTGAAATAAGTATGAAATAATTTTGGGATGTTTTGTGCACATTGATGTCACCACACTGCAAAATTGATTTAGTCACCAATAGAGTGCCCTAAGCCCATTGAAACCAAAACTTAAACATCCAACAGACTGGCAATTGCTGGCTGTTGTCATTCTCAACACATCAGCAGAACATAAATGCATGCAAACTTGAAATGTTCGATTGAGGGCACAGGAAAAGAGAATATGGATTTATATTACACAGCTCTGATATATCAGTCTGATAGTGAATATTTTCTGCGTATGTACTTGGATGTCAACCAATACTTACGCAAATGATGAGCACAGCGCAAGTGAAATGTGTCACATCCATGGACATGATGATAAAGGGTTTTTTCTATTAGGTCCTGAGGTTCATAACCTGTCAATTCAGCTACCCTGAAAAAGCAGATCGCAATAAAGTTTGAAACAATTTTTAGATGTTTACTTTTGTGCACATTTATTTCACCACATTGCAACATTGATTTAATGAACAATGATAATGGATACGGCTGTATCATTATTCAAAATATTACTTTGCAATTTAAAACCAGAGACCACCCACTCACCTCTGTGATTTTCTCTTTCCCTACCCTGGAAAAGAGCCAGTTTGCTCTTGCATCTCCCCAATCAACACAGCTCACATCAGGAATTGAACAAAGTGAAACTTAAAGCTGCCTCGGCCCCTGCTCAGCTCCAACATACTATCACTGCATCATGTACTGCAGTTCTTAATAACAATGCATTGTCAGTCTACTCAATCCATTCCATACATTGATTTCTAATTGAGAACTCACCTCCGAGAGTTCTGTACCTAGAGTAAATGTCAATTGGTGCAGAGGATAGGCAGAGGCTGGACACAATGTGCCAAATGCTGTAAGTTCCTATAGTTCATATAGTTCTAGGATACTTCTCTGAGTACAGGCCATGAAGGATATTTAGCATATCTGTATCATATACACCTGCAATTACTGGTGAATATGAAGCAATTCTGGTGTACAGTAAAGATTTTCAAGAAGGTGCAGCAGTTCCTGTGATCTACTTCAGAATTTCTGCATAACATTACCTGCCTTGGTTATTGCTTTAGTGACTCCATATTTTCAGTGGATAAAATTTGGGAGGAGGAAGGAAGTCTATTCCCCTAGCCCCTTCGGACATTACCTGAACAAAAAGTTTAAGGGACAACACACTAATCTTACCTGGAATCTAGAAATATAAGTTTCATATCGAGGCTGGCACGAAACATAAACATATTGCTATGCAGCTTGATTTCTGTGACTGCACTCGGGGGCAGTGAGTGGCCAACAGCTACCAAACCAACGTTCTGATAACAGCCATCAAAGGGCGACATGTCCAGGCTGTACTGGCGAATCTTTAGATAGCCACTGCAGTGGATAACCTGTAAGAGACAGACGGTGCAATGGCATCAGATGCACATTATTTTTATACCGTGATTCACTGACACGAACTAAAGGACATGACTCAGGCCACCGCTGTGTCTTGGCTTAGGATCGGGTGCACATGTGTGATAAATATATCCCAGTTCCTGACTGGCGACCCAAAGTCTGTTAGCTCTCTGTGTCATGCTCACCTTGTTTGTTCCATGCACCTGGCGGTAGCTAGCTCAAGATGTGAAATACAATTGTTCTGTGAGACAGCAGCTTTTACTGCTGATTTTGGCTCCTGGATGAGGAGCAGCTTTTAGTTTTACAATTTCCCAGTAGATTTAAATCAGAGACGTTACAAGTCAGAATGAGGGTTAGTGTACCCTGTTTGCTAACTGTAACAAATTTATTGATGGGTGCTCCCCTACTTTGCATTAACTAAATTAAGCAAATTTGCCACTATATAATTATAAATAACTAGTTATGTGTAATTTTCAATAATATACTTATAAAGTTGTTTATTTTTCATTTGAAATTTAATTGCAGTAATTTACAAGAACACTGCAACAAATTCATCGAATTTAGTACAAGGTAAAATGGCCTACCGTAAATCAATGAATTCACCATGAACAGAATTTGATAATTCCCCCATGGAGTATTGTTGTGACTATCTTTAAACCCCACCTCTTTTTCACTGCTGTAAAGTTTGTGACAACTTTTTCCTGCTGGGAGAATATGAACCAAACCGCAACATGTGTTCTAACGCCTGGGTTGCCCAGTGAATTAGGAGGTAAGCGATACAAGTTCCAAGAGGAGAGTAAACACTTTCCTGTAATAAGAAACTACTACTTAGCATTGTAGCTAAGACCTATAGAAGTTACCCAGAAGCTTATAGTTGAGTGGGTTGAGGTCTTGGTGGTGTAATGATATTTCCAAGCTAATTGAACCAGAAATACTTCAGCAATACTCTAATGTGCATTTGCATTGCTGCCAAAAATCAAATACCTCTTGAGATGCAGTCTGGTATCTCCAGGGATACTTCTATCAATATCAGAGATGTCATCATACAATTTCGCGTTTCACCCACAAGCAGTCAATTCACTTTACAATATATTCTGTGAAGAGCTTTGAAACATCTCGAAGCTGTGATAAGGTGCTATATCAAATGCAAGGATTATTATGATTATTTATGGTAAAACTAGCACTTGATTCACTATCAACGATTGGGATACATCTCTCTTGGATGTATTTTATATAATATTATTATATAATTTTACCACATTTTGCCCACAAAATATACAGTCAATCCACTTTACAATATATTCTGTGAAGTGTTTTGAGACATCTTGATGATGTGATAAAGCTCTATATCAAATGCAAGGATTATTATTATTATAAAATAATAATTTTGTCACTCAATCCACGACTGTTTGCGGGACACTGCTGTGTGCAATTGACTGCCATGTTTTGGCCACAAAATACACAGTCAATATATTTTATAATATATGCTGTGAAGCGCTTTGAGACATCTCAACAATGTGATAAGGCACTATATCAAATCGAGAGACTTATTATTATTATGTTGTGTCAATAGAGATTTATTTTTTAAGATTTTGACAGAACCAGACTGCAATCAGAAAACATCAACCTGTCTAATCTGCAATTCTGCTATTAGCTAGATGAAATTTTCAATTTTATTTTTCAGCTGGACACATGCAGAATCTCATCACCATGCTTAAGACTATCCAAACCAACCTAGAGTTCCATGCATGCCACCTACATTTTCAAGTTCCGTGTACAGTTTTAGTGACTGAAGATATCTGCTGAAACCCACAACACACTCATTATTGTTTGAAATATGTTGATAAGTCCCACTGAAAGCAAATGTAACCATCTGCTTAAATGCTTTACAAGAACAACAAGTTGCATTTATATAGCACCATTCATGGCGGGAGGATGTCCCACTTTTGAGACTTTAAAATGACTGTAACTTGAGATGCTTTGCATAATGTAGCCAAGACCATTATTTGTATGGTGGGAGATGTAAATTTGTACAGCTTTGCTACCTTCAGCCTCATTTTGATTAATGGAATAAAAGAATAATTTAAAATTGTCTAACACATTTATTTTTTAAATTGATTTTAAATGATTTTATTGCCCCAGGAAATAAAAGACTTTCAGTCCCAAAGTGTTCCAGCATCAGCAGGTCAGAACCCACCTTGTAACCTCCGCAGGTTAACCCTGCATTCCTCTTTGCCAAGACACATTTCATTCTCAAAAAAAAGGATCGTTCAATTTCATATTCTGTTGAAAGACAAAACAATGGTTAACTATACTGCAGCAAATGAGGACAGTATAAAGATCCTACCAGTTGATATACAGTAGCACCTCATCATGTTGAAATATCTTTAAACATGTCACACAATGAATTACTTTGAAGTGTAACGACTGTTATTGTGTTAACAAATAGGGCAGTTGATTTGTGCCAACAATGTGCTCAATTTCTGCCTATTTTTCAGATAAGTTGGATGATGGAACAATATTGACAAAGAGGTAGGAGGAATCCCTGATTTTCTTCAAAACAGTGCCCTATTTACCTCCATCAAAAAAATCACCTAAACTGGCAAAGCAGGACCTCAATTTAAGGTTCACCCGAAGGACCACACCTCTAAAAAGCCGCACTAATTGAGTGCTGCCCTGCCTATTTTCTAAGAAAAATAAAACTCCCAATTTGGAATGAGGAGAGCAGGCCTGAATGTGTAAGAACAAGATGGACTCTACAATATTTACCTTGAACAAAGTGAGAGTGGTATGGCTGATGAGCTGTTAGAACTGCTGTCATCTCATCATGATCAGCTGGGTGGATGTACTCATAAATACTGTTTCCAGTTAGTTCTACCTGTTAACATTAGAAAGAAATTTTAAAATATTTATACACAAATACTATGAAGAGGTAAATGCACTGAATACTCCTGTCTGCAGAGAGACAATACGGGAAGACTGTAGAGTTGTACTGACAATCAGTTTCTTTAATGTGGCATTTCAATAAGAGGGGATTTCGTATTACAGATATCACTTAATTGTGGGCATTTTATCTTTTTGGTTGTTTAGAAATTTGTGAATATTGTTCAGCAGCAACAAGTATTCTGTACATTAAAACTTATTAAGTCAGTGACATTTAACTTTAAATCTGTTACCAAGATTTATTTTGTTACAAATAAAGGCTACACCAAGCAAAAAAGGCATTCAAACTTGAGTAAAAATATGTCAAAAAAAGCTAAGTTGTTTCAATGTAAAATTACACCAAGGATAGCATGCACTACAGTAATCTCTTATAAGTTAGGTTAACAAATATATATGTTACAGTGGAAGAAAACATAATTGAAGACATAATTTAAGAACTGTTGATACATAAACCATCACCAGATACATAACCAGTCAATAGAAAGTTATTTTCAATGTTTTTCAAATGTAGCCTACCAGGCATATGGGACTTCTCATTATAAAGTACTACAAAATGAGCTGCTGCTACTCAAAATGATTTATTACCCACTTGTCACATTTATACAGCATTGCTACCTCCTTGTTAAATGATTTTCAGAAACATTATCTTAACTGCAGTTCAGATAATGTTTCTGAAATGATGATACAACTAAAATTGTTATACTTTTTAGACAAATTAAATTGTTTGACAAATGTTGTTATGCCTTACTTTATCTCTGGATAACTGTACAGTTTCTTAAAATTGTGATAGTTTGGATGGTTTATTTTGCTATAATGATGCATTTGAATTATAGCTAAACAGCAAACATATTTGTACACATGTTTACTTTTCTCATGTGATTTTGTCAAATTTAACATTCATTTAGTTCCCATTATTTTTTAAACACTCATTTTGCTGTATCAATGTTCTATTACATTATTGAATGTACGTTTTTTAAAAAAAATGTATTTAAAGATAAGAAAAGAATATCCAGTTATGGATTTGGGATAGAGGTTTTCATTGGCATTTTCAATTATAGAAATAACTGCTATTTCACTCTGTCCTCTCTCTGCTTCTGTTTTATAAAAGGTAAACAGTGCTTTATTTTTAAATATTTAATTTTTATAATTTTTCACATAGCTATAAATACTTAACATTTTAATGGCTCTTTACTTAATAAGAAAACAAGAAATCTGTTGGAATTTTTTTAATGAAATGTATATAACCTTGATAGAAATAATGTCAAATATCTAAAAGCAGCCAGAGTTCACAGGATGTCTATACCAAATGTATTAGTGTGCCTCTTCCTCAACTAAACCCATGATATTTGCCTTCCATAATTTGTTAAATCATTTCTTATAAGTGTGTGATAAGGCACTATATCAAATGTGAGAGTTATTATATTTCACTAATTTTAAAAATAAGGTTCAAGATAATATATTATTTTGGAGTTCTGAGTTTATTTATATTTCAATGACTGTTGGTCTTCACTGCATTTTTTAGATATTCGTAATTCCCTGTTGATATTTCCTTTCATCCTTAACAAAAATAGAAACAAACCAAAAATAAAATCACAAATATTCTCAGCAACACCCTGACAATGCGGGGCAAACAACGGCCCGCGGGCCAGTTCTGGCCCGTGGGGCTGTCAAAAAGTGTCCCCCCCCTACGAACATTTACGCTAGAAAATCGAGAAATCAAGAAGAAATCAGGAAGAAATCAAGAAATATTGCCTAATTCATGAAATATTCAATCAAGAACATTTATTGAGTTGGCCGACGAAAAACACTGGCCACTACTGCCTGACTGAACAAACATCTCAGCACCACACATTGTGGTGAGATGACTGGTACCTATGAGCGCACAGTAGATGTATTTATTGTCTGACTGCACACTAAATGCCAAAGAGTGACTATATGAACCAACCTGTCAGACAATCCTTCTCTTCATCCAAATTTCATTGATAGTGATAATGGCGTGTAAATCATCATACGATATAACATACACACATATGGTAAATACATATTATATTATGTATAGCCGGTACACACATATATATATATATACTTAATGTGCACAAGGTTGAATACACATAACAACATGTATGCATACATTTATACGTATTGAACATGCCATATATCTGTGCTGTATATACAGATGCATAAAACGTGCATATTACATTATACACACGGGGTTACATATACATATGTAGTATATGGATATATAGGTATATAGGACAAACAAACGTACATATGCAGACATGTACCCACATATTTGTGTGTATTACATATTGTATATACTAGTTGATGTACACATGTGTGCATACGCATTGTACGTACATAGATAAAGGTATACACACGCAATGTCCTACCTGTGATAATCCCAAGTGCACTGACGCGGTTTCAGAGATGTACATGATTTTGCCGTCAGGAGCCACCACAAAGATGAAGCCATCGAGTGTCTGCACATCCAGAGACAACACAAAGGCATGACTTTCTGGCTTAGCGCGTCCCCCTCTGTAGAATATCCTGACAATACTGAATTTGATTTGATTTGTGCGATAAATATATGCTGTCTCCCTCATTCCTCTCTGGTTGTTTACTTAGGAAGTGAAAAGCCTCTGGAGAAACACGCCGCCTTATAATTGATTACAGAAAACACAGAGAGTAGTATCAAACTGCAAAGCTGAACTCCACTGACCTGTGGGAAACGACTCGAGATTGTTTGAACTCTTCGCCAGTTTATTTGTCTTTTAGCAAAAGAAAATAAAGGACATCGAGGATATATCTCTCTTCAAATGTGTGCACCACCTGTTTTCTAAATGATCATTTTACCTTTTGGGGTTGTGCAAAACCCATCTACTTGCTTTTGCGTGTGAGGTTTCAGATGATTTAATTTTAGATTTAGAAATATATTATTTTCGACGAAATCCGCAAGCTATGTAGGTAATAAATGCAGTAGTAAAAGACATGTCGATGTATGTTTGTAATAAGCTGATGTTTTCTTGATTTATGAAATAGCACCAGCAATAAACCAGCAATAATATTGGGTAAACACTCAGTTCAGTGGATAAATCCTCTTCCGGTTCAAACTACCCCTCCTAACCTGGGTATGCCTCAGCTATTTTGCTATTTCGCATAGAAATCGGTGTGGGAGAGATTATCAGAACACGATCTGCTTATCGCCCGGTGATGGCGAGTGCGCGTTTGGTTTTTATTCTGCAGCGGTCGGTGCACCTCCACCTCCCGGTGACCGGTTTGGCGCAGACAAACAGCGCCCGTGGACGCGAGGTGCCAAATGCAGCCCATGGGTGGACGACCCTCCCGATTGCACTCCAGCAAGAAGTTGACGGCCCCGAAATGGAGTAGTTGTTTCCTTCAGATAATCCACTCGAGGGCCAGTAATTCCCCCCCGTGTCTCAGCCCTGCGACTCGCCGGGGGGTGAAGCAGCCGCTCTGCTCTCTCTGTGTGACACTCGCCCGGCGTGAGACTGACACTCCCGCACCGCAACGCCCGTCTGCACCACCGCTCAGAAAAGTCACCTTCGCTGGGATGCGGGGCGGGGTATCCGCACTGGGACCCTCCTCGCATTCCTTCCCGATCCGCATTAACGCAACGATCTCGGCATAGAAATGCCGTCTCTCTTTAATGCTCGATTTCAGTTCAGACCCTCTTACCTTTGTAAAACCCGCGTGTGTGTGTGTGTATGTATGTGTATGTGTGTGTGTGTGTGTGTGTCCACCCCTTAATAATTCTGATAGTCGGACACTGGAGCAATGTCCTGTGGCACCTTCTGCAACGTGAAATGTGCAACAGGGAAGCGGCGATTTACCTGTAACAGGTGCGATCCGAGTTCCCGACCGACGTTATCCAGTTGGCTTGTGCGGCTGGGCTGGCCCCAGGCATCTCCTAATCCTAAAACAGATTTTTTTTTTAAAAAAAAGGGTGAGAAACTGAACTCTTCTTCCCACCCAATTCAACCGCTTTCCACGTGTTTTTTTTTTTGTCTGAAAGCAGTCAAAACAGACACCGATCGCCGGGCATTACAACCGCGCGGGGCGGGTGGGGTGTGTGTGTGTGTGTGTGTGTGGTGGGGTGGAGGGGGGGTCCAGTTAACGCAGACATGCACTTTATTTTCTGTAATTGATTGCATCTTATCCGAGGATATTTCTGGACATTTCTGGTATTACAAAAAAAAAGGGGGGTTATCCCTGGAGTGTTTTTTTTTATATACACGGAAAAGGATCGGTACATTTGGCAAATATAAGTTGGTTTACATTTAACGTGGTGAATGTGTTCAGATCACTAACATTATCAGCGCCGGGACGTTGTTGTTGTTGTTGTTTAAAAAAACACAGAAACAGCTATTGAGTTCAGGGGGTTCAATCCTGGTGCAAGACGTGTAAATATTCGAGGGCCACAGATGACCATCAAAAGCACAAGAGTATTGGGTGTTATAACTGTATGAAATAATAGTCAACACAAGGAGCCACTGTGAGGCTGTGCCACGCGAAACTGTATTCGAATAAGTATTTGTTTTGATGATAATGGCAGCGATTCCTCATAGTTGTTGCAGTTTGTGGAGGTCGGATATGATGGTCTGTGAGCAGGAAGGATTCTCGCCGTTCACATCGGTAAAACCTCACGAACACACACCCACAGCAACTGATCGAGAAATATGCGAACACACACGCACACGCCAGGTACTCCTTGCAAAAAAATAAACGCCAACTAATAGTCCAGCTGGACATTTCTTATCAGCGCATATTTTCAAATTATTTTGCACATCTTCCTTTGCCCTTCATCTCTACACTATAAATATGCTTTGCTCTCGCGTAAAGTAGCGCAGTACAGCTGCAGAAAAAAAGAAACCCACTGGGATCCTGGATTTCAGAGACTCCTGACTGAAATCAGGCGGTCGCATACCCAGTGGGATACAAATAGCAACGGTGCGTGATCACTGCAGTGCATTGGGAAGTGTGCCGTGTAAATAGGTGTCACATCGGTTGCATACATATGCGTGTTCCGGGCTCCAGTGATACAATAAATCAGACAAAAACTGCAAGTCGTCGGCAAGTTGCAACAGACCCACTGATGTTTTTTTACACACACAAAACACAGAAACCGTAGAAATTAAAACTACGCTGGTGCAGCCTCCTTCACTGTGGCTAACTTACACTTATTCCCACTTCCCTGCTCATTCCCCGTCGCCTTTTTTAGATTATTCCTCAACAAATTGGACATCCGATTACCTTAAACATGTTGTTGTGCTCTCAGCCCTCAATAGTCACTTGTGGCAAACCACTTAACATCCCTCCAGGTTAAGAAAAAAGTTTACACCGTCCTCCCCCTTAACTCTTTCACTGACAATCATCATTAATGATAATAAATGATATTGTAAGGAAGGATATGTGTAGATGTCATGATCAAGGAGGAAGCAGGTGTCAAAAAACGGCACAAAACGCGTCCTCCCTGTGTTTAATTTGTTTGAAATAATGATAGAAGAAATCCCACCTTCTATCTTGTGTACAGTCTATAACAATTTACAATGCTCTCATTTTTTCCCGAATCATTCTTCTGCCGTTTAATGTCCTTACAACATAAACACGCCAATGAGATTCCTTATCAACGTAGTAATTCCCCCATTGTTTTATCCAACTATAAATATGGAGAAGTGTGTAAAAAAAACTAAACCTCCTGATCTAATGCGACATTATTGTAAAACCATTGATAAAAAACCGCACTGCTGTTTTCTCAGTAACAATGTCTTTCATCTAAAAAAAATATAACGTTGACTCCGAACCTCGCTTTCAGAAAATATGTTAAAATAACATTTACATTTCAGTAAACATTAGGCGCGTGAATTTAAAATAAAATAAATAGCACGCCAAAGAGGAAACGTTTGGCCTTCATGGAAAATAGAAATCATTTCCAATCTTCAAATCCCGTAGCTGTGTGCACAATTCGGTCCTGGTTTGTTAGTTGCAAAATTTTAGTTTCAAAATCCTCCTCCAACATTTGCTTGGATTGCTATCGGGGTCACTGCGTAACGAACCACCTTTCTATTTCTTGTCGGTGCCTCTGCCTTTCCAGTCTTACACTCAACAGACACTGGTTACGATAAATCAAGAAGCCTCGGGACAAAGCGTGAATAAGAAAAAAAAACTTATTATTTCGTTATTTAATTGTTATTTAATGTCGTGTTATTATTTCGTTTTGAACTCCAATTATTTTTTCTTTTCCTCTTCACTGGACGCACGTTAGTATTATTGCACAGGTGTACTAAAGCGTCAGTGTACAATGTCACACCTACAGCTCTCAAGAGGGGGAACACGGAAGGAAATCAGCTCTTTGTTCTGGCGATTCCCCTCAGCTTCGGGGTTATTGCACAGCTCAGGTTGCAATCGCACAATGATTTTGAGAGATCTGTGCGATGGGGTCGCTTTATAAACGGTTGTGTAATCTGATTGTTTCCTGCAGTTTGAAGACTTTCATCCCCCTTAAACCGCGCGCAAACAAAGCGTAGATTTTGAAGTTGTGGTGATTTCTTCACAAAGGTATAGCCGGCGTCTGGGACTCAGAGCCCGTCTGACTGGTGTAGTGCAACTTAAACAACAGAAAGGGACTCCAGCGAGCACTTGTGTTACCAATGCCACACACAGAGCGCATTCTGCAAGCGTGCAAGATCCGCGCTGCCACCGTTTCTGAAGGGCTACACCTACTCTCGCCACAAAGCCATCATTATTATTGCCCGTTTCCATAACATTATTTTGTTGGAACGGCCTCGTGTGTTTAACACTGTCTCCTCGAAGTAAAAAAAAATAGGCTGTTGATTAATCGCCGTTGCTCGAGAGCCGCAACGAGGCAATTGAGAAAGTTTGCAAATGTACGCTGATAAATAAGTGCGAGAAAAAGAGAAATGCTCTATCCCTTCCTTTACTGGACCCGATGTTTCTCCAGCTTGGAGTGTTATGCAGAATGGTGTGGAAGACCAATGCAACATTGGGAGAGCATGTACACAAAAGAGAAGCACTGAACACTGAACAGCTGATATTTTACAAATAAAAACAATGTTGTGCCGTTTGAAATGAGGTTTCTGGGCTATGTAAATACTCTTATGAGCAGCAATTATTTTGGAGTGAACTTGACTGAAGAATTTTCTTGCAATTTGGTTTTAGCGTCTTTCAAAACAAAATGAGGAAGGAAAACAGAGATGTAGCATTTCTCTTTTTCTCACACAGACTTATCAATGTACAATATATTGCCAGCAGCAGGGGGTCGACCAAAAATGCAAAGGTTCTGACGAAGGGTCGTGGTCCCGAAACGTTGACTGACTTTCTTTTCTCCATAGATGCTGCCTGACCTGCTGAGTGTTCCCAGCGACTTCTGTTTCTGTTTCAGATTTCCAGCATCTGCAGTACTTTACATTATGTGAAGGTTGTACTCACTGAAGTCAAATTTACCACAACCATAAATGTGAATCAAATTAAATTATTGTTTTGTCGAAATATAACTGACACTTAAATGCTTTTGCTATAAAGGGAATAATCTGGCCATTTTATTTGCCCAATTATGGGCTCGAAATTCCACCTGGTCTTAGTCTATATGTTAATTTAGTTTTAATTTGGCAACGGCTTTCCATAATTCTTTAAAAAAACCCGGCTTCCAATTTAAGACAGAATTTTTTTCACAATATTGCCCGATCTTACATTTTAGACAAAACGGTCTTAGAGACTAAGATTAGGTGGAATTTCAAGCCTCTTACTTTTGTTTGGAGAGAAAAAAAATGTCAATCTCTCGTTCCCCTGAGTCTTAACTTTCAAAAGTGCATCTTACGTTTTCAATTACAATATTGGTTCGTGGTGGGTCCCCCTGAATGAAACGCTACCATTTCATGAACATTATCTCTTTGACAGCCACCATGGCAAAAAGCGAATGCCCTATAATAGACTTACTTGTCAACGAACACTAAAACTCTAGATCTAAGCGTTGATCTGAGCGAATAATCCAATGTAAATCATTTCCTAAACAGGGCGAAATCCATTGAAATCACTCGAGGAATTTGTCTAAGACTGCAGGACTGAAGTTGTGATTTTTGCACTTGACCTACTGCCGAGAAGCAGCAAAGGCAACAATATCTCCTTAAACCATCAGAACAGAAATCTCGCCTTTGTGAAGCGTTAGAATGGAAACAAGAGGGAGAACACTTGTAACGTGGAGAGGTCTCAGATGAAACAAGCAGCTTTTGTGCGCGGAAATGTAACTCTGAAGGTTTCGGGAGGGGAAGGATTTTCCCAGCTAAAGGAGACCGACACTCATGCAGAATCCTTTGTGAGGATTCTATGCTATAACCACCCCCCACCAAAAAAAAATTGGGTGCTAAAATATCTTATTTAATAACAATGATAAAAATCATTGTGTATAGGTGGCCTTGGCATTGGGCTGCGCGGATCTATTGGTTAAAATGGCTCAGATATCAAGTGAAACCCCAATGTACTCGTTAAAAAAAGTTTCTGAGCAGCAATTCATGGGCGGCATTGATGCATTGGAAACACATTTCCATTTAAATACCCCCTGACCCGGATTACCTCAATGGACTGGACGCTTGTGCTTTGTAATTTCCTGAAAATGAGATTTCGATTTATAAAACAAGAAACCAATTAGTAACCAAATGAGGCGAAGTAGATCCACTAAAATTGACTAAATCCCAGAGGTGCCATTTAAGGCAGTTCTTGGCGAGTAAAATGATGATTTCTAATCAGTCGTGGGCTCAACTCATTCTCCAGCTGGGCTTTCTCGCTGCCCCCCAAAAAGAAATCGATCCAAGTTTCCCAGAATGATTTTCAAACACCACATTATACACAAAAATGTATAAAAACATAATTTAAAACAGAAATAGGAAGACAATGCAGCAA